CCCGCAAGATCCCTCTCCGGTCGTGCTTCCCCTTCCTGGCCAGCGATCTCTGGCGTTCCTTACTTTGGGCCAGAGTTCCGGAAGGATCGGAAGGTCAACCGTGCCTCGCCCGAGCCTGGTTTCTGAAATCGCGAGCCGCTCACCGAGGTCGCCCTCGCAGGCCCAGGGCCCCCAGGGCTTCTGACCCACATCCAGCAGAGTGGCGATCGTGGCGGCAACTGGGGCGCCCACGCTTCGCCATCTATTTCCTGCTGGCTTGGGTTCTAGGTCAACTGCGACTCTACGCCACACTCGCCTCGTCTTATCGGCATCGAACCTAGCATGGGTTAAAATATGAAACCAAGCCTCGATCGCATCAAACATCGCAGAGAAGGCCGGGTCTCGCCGACCGGACTTTAGAGCTGTGGTCAAGTACCTACCCCCCTTAGAGACTCCCCCCGTAAGACTCCCCAGCGCTCTCCGCCAACCAAGGACAACACTTGGTGGGGCGCCGTGGACCTTATCAGAATCTTTAGCTTTTGAAGAAGCCGAGGTCAATGCCATGTTTCGCGCCCATTTCTTGCACAGCGTCTTGCATTTAGCCAGCTTGTCCAGCCTTTGCAATCTACGATTGGCTCCAGCCCTCCTGCTGGCCTGCCTGGGTCGCGATGCCTTCACCTGGCCTCGGTCAGTACCTAGATCTGCTGCTACTCGTTTGGCCTGCACGCGGATGCCTTGCCCGCTGAAGAAATCCTTGGGTCTTACGGCCAACGCCCAGAACGAGGAAATGAAGGCCGATCTCGGCGCAGTGTGCAATTTGATCGCGCGCAGGCCTTGGACGAAATCAAGGCCCAACTTCGAGAGCTCAGCAAAAACTCTGCCACTGTCCCCATACATGCACTGCACAATGTCGTCTACCCAAAAAGTGCAGTGTTGGCAAGGGCCTGCCCGTTGCTACTGCACTGCGGACGAAGTGAAGGGCCGCCCTGCCTAAATCAACTGCACCACTGCTGCCTGGGATGAAGGACATACCTGGCTGCACTGCCCGAAAAATAAAACTCCAGCCTCTCTCAAAAACCTGGTGGCCATATGGACCTGGAGCGCCAGGGCCAAATAACATGGAGGAAACTCTAATTCCAAAGCGTGGTCCGGTACCAGGTCCCAGCGGAGGTTACCGTAAAAACCTGTCACATCCCAGAGCAAGCTCGCACTCTGATAGTCTGGCAGAGAAGAGTGCGCTGCTTGCTCATCTCTGAGCAATCTTATAAAAGGCAACTTGTAGTGCAGAACAGCCCGCGAGTGCCGTGTCCACGGCCCCGCTCGCTCTTTAGTCCAACCCGCTCGGTCCGAGGTTCGCAGTCGCCCCCCAAAACGGACAACCCAGGCCAGCAGGCCAATCGCACGGTCAGAGTCCTCTTCTTTGACTTGGAGCGTGGCAAGCACCACCAGGGCCTGCCAAGGCCAACAAACTTTCTGCTCGACTAGCGCATAAAAATCAGCTAACTGCTGTAGGCCCAACGGCGGCAGCGACTGGAAGTCCTTCTTGGACAGCCTATCCACACCTGGAGCTTTTTCAAGCAAGGCCGAGATGACCATACGGAACCAATCGGCACTACGCGGGGGCCGTAGGTTCCAGGTGGCCCTCGACTGGGCCTTATGCCAAAGGGCCCGAATCTTGGGACAACTTCCACTGTCTCCTGCCCATTTGCCTGCCCAGATCTTGGCCTTGGCAACCACTCTCTGGCAGGAGTCTTTAGCCGTCGATGACCCAACCATGAGCAATTGTAAATACCGTCGTTGCATGCACCGCATTGGGAGGAGCCCCCTATAGAGCCACGGCAACGTGTGAGGGGTGTGCCGAACTGGGTGCGGCGGGCGCATGCGAACGCTGGCATGTGGGGGCCGTCGGTGGGGCCCCCTACGGACCCACGGAAACGTGTGAGGGGTGTGCCGAACCTGCACGGTGCCGGCATGCGGGCCCTGGCACTGTGATACGAACCGCAGTTGTGAGTACCATCTTCGGTGGATCCTCCTCCTCCTCCTCCTCCTCCTCCTCCCCTCCTCCTCCTCCTCCTCCTCCTCCTCCTCCTCCTCCTCCTCCTCCTCCTCCTCCCCCGACTCCTCCTCCTCCTCCTTCCCTCCTCCTCCTCCTCCTCCTCCCCCTCCAAATCTTCCTCCTTCTCCTCCTCCTTCTCCTCCTCCTCCTCTTCCTCCTCATCCTCCTCCTCCTCCCATGCGGCCACGGAACGTTGGAGGGGTGTGGCAAAGTGGCCCGTCGGCGTCAGACGGCCTTTTCCACTAGGGCGTTCGGTGGAGCTCCCCATGGGGCCACGAAACGTGCGAGGGGTGTGCAGAAATGGGGCGGCACCGTCATGCGGACCCTGCCGCTGCGGCCTTCGGTGGTGCCGCCTCAAGCCACGAAACGTGCAAGGGGTGCACCAACACGTGGGGTGGAACCACATGCGGGCGCTGGCACTGGGGCCTCAGGTGGAGCACCCTGTGGGGCCATGGAACGCGTGAGGGGTTCGCCGAAAGGGGGGGGTGGAACCGCATGCAAACGCAGCCTCTGGGGCCTTCGGTGAAGCTCCCTACGGGGCTACGAAGCGTGTGAGAAGTGTGCCGAAATGACGATGCGGCGGCATGCGGGCCCTGGCACTGGAGCCTTCGGTGGAGCTCCCGACGGGGCCACGAAGCGTATGAGGGGTGTGCCGAAATGGCGAGGTGGTTGCATGCGGGCCATCCCACTGGGGCCTTCGGCGGAGCTCCCTATGGGGCCACGAAGCGTGTGAGGGGTGTGCCGAAATGGCGAGGTGGCGGCATGCGGGCCCAGGCACTGGGGCCTTCGGCGGAGCTCCCTATGGGGCCACGAAGCATGTAAGGGGTGTGCCGCAATGACGAGGTGGCGGCATGTGCGCCCACTGGGGCCGTCGGTGGAGCTCCCTATGGAGCCACGAAGCGTGTGAAGGGTGTGCCGAAATGGCGAGGTGGCGGCATGCGGGCCCTGCCACTGGGGCCTTCGGTGGAGCACCCTATGGGGCCACGAAGCGTGTGAAGGGTGTGCCGAAATGGCGAGGTGGCGGCATGCGGGCCCCGGCACTGGGGCCTTCGGTGGAGCTCCCTATGGGGCCACGAAGCGTGTGAGGGGCGTGCCGAAATGGCGAGGTGGCGGCATGCGGGCCCTCCCACTGGGGCATTCGGTGGAGCTCCCTATGAGGCCACGAAGCGTGCGAGGGGTGTGCCGAAATGGCGAGGTGGCGGCATGCGGGCCCTCCCACTGGGGCCTTCGGTGGAGCTCCCTATGGGGCCACGAAGCGTTTGAGGGGTGTGCCGAAATGGCGAGTCGGCGGCATGCGGGCCCTCCCACTGGGGCCTTCGGCGGAGCTCCCTATGGGGCCACGAAGCATGTGAGGGGTGTGCCGAAATGGCGAGGTGGCGGCATGCGGGCCCGGGCACTATGGCCGTCGGCAGAGCTCCCTATGTGGCCACGAAGCGTGTGAGGGGTGTGCCGAAATGCCGAGGTGGCGGCATGCGGGCCCTCCCACTGGGGCCGTCGGTGGAGCTCCCTGTGGGGCCACGAAGCGTGTGAGGGGTGTGCCGAAATGGCGAGGTGGCGGCATGCGGGCCCTCCCACTGGTGCCTTCGGCGGAGCTCCCTATGGGGCCACGAAGCGTGTGAGGGGTGTGCTGAAATGGCGAGGTGGCGGCATGCGGGCCCAGGCACTGGGGCCTTCGGCGGAGCTCCCTATGGGGCCACGAAGCGTGTGAGGGGTGTGCTGAAATGGCGAGGTGGCGGCATGGAAGGATCGCGGGGCGCAGTCTCTTCAAAACGAGGACCCAACACCACAGGATGGTTGGGACAGAGATCAACTGAAAACCCAACTCTCGGGAATCTGGTGTCAAAAACCAATACGCGGAGAGAGGCCGAACAGTTCCCGGACGTCACCCGAGGAGAGAGAAGAGTCGTATTCATATTGTGTTATTGCGGAGGAGGAGGAGGAAGAGGAGAAGGAATAGGAGGAGGGGCGGGGTTTATTGCCCGCCGAGAGAAACGGAGAGAAGACCTACCTCGGGTATGTGGTGCAATATAGGTGGTAGTACCTAACGCGCTGATCCATGTGGAGTGAGCTCTGCGATGCAAGCTGTGGCGCATGTCATCCAAACGCAAACAGATGTAAAGCAATGAAATGCAATGCAATTCAAAGCAATGCAACGCAATGCAACGCAACACATTGCAATGCAGAACAATGCAATGCAATGCGAAACAATGCGAAGCAACGCAAAGCAACGCAATGCAAGGCAAAGCAAAGCAATGCGAGCCTCGCAACTCGAATCCGCCGGCAACAAAAACGGTGCAGCGACGCACGGCGGCGACGCGCGGCCCCAGGCTGGCCAGGCCCGCGCACGGCCCCGGCTGCGAGCCCCTCGCAATCCGAGTCGTGGCCGCAACTCTGCGGCGGCGACGGGTGGCGACAGGGCGGCCACGAGGCGGCCAAACCGGCGCACAGGCCCAGCTCCTCGCAAGGGAGAGGAACCCTGAGTGCAGACACTGTTGGGGGATTTCTGCGATCACGACTCTGACAAAGATGCCTCCTGCGTGAACGGTTGGTGAACGTTTCTTCATTCGGCGCTTCGACATTGGGCGGAAAGGGGGGGGGGAGGGGGGGAAGATCTGGCTCAAGACCTCTGCTTACAGGGCAGATTTTAATACATGGGATGCTTCACAATATGGGATGAATACATGATCAATGTATGAATGAATCTATGCATGAACTCATCGTTTTTAGTAATACTACATCCCTGTATTTGTTGCACATGATCCGCACGCGGAGCATGTATAAAAAACGACACTGTAGTGCGACTGTTTGGGACTGGGCGTCCTCTGGGGGGGACTCCACCTGCTCGAGAGGGGCGCCAAAAAACAGCCAAGATCTACCTCACGGGGGGGGGGAGCGAGAGGTGCGAGGGCCCGCGACGATCGGCAAAATAATGAATTACAAACACGCGCACTTGGCACCCTCCGGCCTGTTGCCGTTCATGTCCAGCAGAACGCCGCCGACGCCGCGGAGGGCCTCCGCCGCCAGGAACTTCACCTTGGCATTAGGTCGGGCAAGTCCCCCTGCAGACGGATTTTGCACGAAAAATCAAAAAAAAATACCCCAAACATACACAAAAAATGTTCAAACAAATGCCCCAAAACAATAAAACAAAATCGCCCCTGGACTAATTTTTGGGCTATCTTTGCATTTTCCCCCTGTAGAGGGACAGACCCGACTTAAACCTTGGCGTCCGGCTCCTCCGGGTGCACGAGGCCCGTGGGGTGCACCTGCACCCACTCGAGGTCGACCATGTCGCAGCCCACCTCCATGGACATCTTGAGGCCGTCGCCAGTGCAGTGCTCCCCGTTGGTGGTCGGCAGGTGCGCCAGGTCGGGGCGGTACTTGCTGAGCAGCGAGTCGGCGGTGAAGTCTGCGCCGAAACCGCCCGTGGCGATGACGACAGGACCATGCTCCTCTAGGGGAACAAACGATGACATAAACATAAAGACTCGGAGATCCGCGCGAAATTCTCGGATCCGCGCGGAGCGCACCAGGGGCGGCACCGAAGGCGCCGCCAGGGGGCCCTAGCGCCAATCCGAGAAATCCGCGCGGACCTCCGAATTTGTATGTGCATATTATCACTGGTCGTTCTCCGCTTCGGCGAGAACACGAAGCGTCTCGAAAACACATGCATATATAAATACATATATTCATGCATGCATGCATGCATGCATGCATGCATACATACATACATACATACATACACACATAAATGCATACAGACCTAGATACCTACCTATATACATGCATGCATGCATACACTTATACATACATATATGCATACACACATACATACATATGTGCGTACATACATGCATGCATACAGCCATACATTGAAACATACATACATACATACATACATACATGCATCCATCCATCCATACATACATACATACATGCATGCATGCATGCATACATGCATGCATGCATGTATACATACATACATACATACATACATACATACATACATGCATACATGCATACATGCATACATACATGCATACATATACACGCATACAAACATACATGCATACATACATACATACATGCATACATACCTATGTACATACGTATGTACATACGTACCTACACACATACGTGAATACATGCGTACACACCTACACACATGCCTATATGCATACATACATACATGCATACATACATACATACATACATAGATGCGTGCATGCCTGCAAACAAAATATACACGCATGCATGTCTGCATGCAAACATACAAACATGAATGCACGCATCCATACATAGATATGCATACACACACATACATACATTCATACATACATGCATGAACACACACACATACCCACGTACATAAATACATACATGCATAACTGCATAGACATATATACACATACATGCATGCATGCATACATACACAGTCATACAACATACACACAAACATACATACAATCATATAGTCATACATTCATGTATGTGCATGCATGCATGCATACATACATACACACATGCATACATATATACATGCATGACGCATGCCTACATATTAATATACATACATAAATACATGCATTCCTACACACATGCATGAATCCATACATGTATACACGGATATCTAACATTATGTGCGTGTGCAGCACGTGCCGCTCCTCGTACACCTTGCCATCCTTGTCCTTGCAGACGCAACCGCACACGTTGCCGTCCTTGTCCGTGAGCAGCTTCGTCACCTGCGTCTTCAGCGCGATGCGCGCTCGCTGCGGGGTCTTCTCGGCGATCTCCTCTGATGTGCAAATGTTTCACACCCACTACCATATGTAGGACGGGGTAGAAAAGAGGATGGAAAAGTCGTCCTCCTCCTCCTCCTTCTCCTCCGCTTCCTCCTCCTCCTCCTCCTCCTCCTCATCCTCCTCCCCTCCCTCTCCCCCTCCCTCTCCCCCTCCCTCTCCTCCTCCTCCTCCTCCTCCTGCTCCTCCTCCTCCTCCTCCGCCTCCTCCCCCCTCTCCCACCTGTGGTAGCGGTGGTGGAAAGCGGGCCCACCATCCTCGAGCTTCTCCATGAGGCCGTAGGTGATGGTCATGCCGGGGAAGCGCTCCTTGCCGCGGTGCGTGCGGGGCATGGAGTGGCCGCCCAGGCGCGAGACCAGGCTGAGGTCAACGCCGAACTTGTCGATGATCCAGTCCACGGACGGCGCGCTCTCCTCGCACAGCACGCGGACGAGGTCCGGGCGGCTAGCGCCTCCCCTCATGCAGTCCTCCTGGAAGATCTCCGGGCTGTCGCCGATCTTGTGCGCGCGCTGCGTCTTGGTGAGGGCGCCGTTGATGCCGCTGGTGGCCTGGGCAGGACCAGTCACCATCGCATCGGGAAATCGGATCGTGTCGTGCGTCAGGTCGGGCTGCAACGGCACGGAGTCGGAACCCAATCGGATGGGCCGCCTCAGGATGCTCGGCGGCGCCGCGCCAGCATCGGGCCGCATGGGATCGTCGGGACATCGAAAGCGAATCGGACCGAGGTGTTGGAAGCGGCCAGGGAATCCGAGCTGGATAAGTGAGCCCAGAGAAAATCTTGTCGACAAGAGGGGGAGGAAGGGGGCAAGTCCGCTCGAAATCGGTCCCCGGCCCTCTCCTGGGTTCGAAACTGACCGCTTCTGCGAGCCGCGTCCAGCCGTGGCGACGAGGGGGGCCTATTCTCCCTCCTCCTGCTGGCCGGGGCCAGTGCTGGGCCACCTCGGCCCCCCCAGCCAGCTCCGTTAGAAGAAGAAACACACATAAACATACACTTTTGGCGCTGCGCGCGGAGTTCTTGGATCCGCGCTGGACCCGGGGGCCGCGCCGGAGGCGCCGCCGAGGGGGCCCAGCGCGGATCCAAGGAACCCGCGCGGAGCGCCCAGAAGTTTCTGCTTCGGGCGTGTGCTCTTCCTCGATGCAGGCCTTGGTGCTGTTGCCCCCGAAGAAGGCGCTCTTGTCCACCACGAGCACGTTGATGCCGTGCTCGAGGATGGTGTGCGCGGCGGAGAGGCCGCCGAGGCCGCCGCCCACGACGATGACCTGGGAAGGGGCCCTGGGACACACGAATGAATACACACAGCTCCCACGAGTTTGACCCATTTTCTCATAGATTTGGATTTCGCCATATGCTTCATATGATCATATGTATATATATATATATGTATACACACCTATCTATATATATATATATAGAGGTGTGTATAAATATATAGTATGTGTGTGGATATGCTGGGTGTTCATGTATATATGCTGGGTGTTCCCATCTGTTCTCTATGTTTCTTCATTCCCTACCTAGGCTCTGCCTAGAAGGGTTCTTGCTCTCTTTCTTAAAGGGGCCGGGCAGTGGAAAGCGCCACGGGCGGTTCCCCCAGTATCCGCCCCAGGGTTCCCCCAGTTGCGCCCCCTGGGTTCACCCAGCTTAGCTTAGCTAAGCTTAGCTTAGCTTAGCTTAGCTTTGCCTAGCCTAGCCTCGCTTAGCTTAGCTTAGCTTAGCTTAGCTTAGCTTAGCTTAGCTTAGCTGATCTCATCTTAGCTTAGCTTGGCTTGGCTTAGCCTAGCCTAGCCTAGCTTAGCTTAGCTTGGCCTAGCTTAGCTTAGCTTAGCTTTGCATAGCTTAGCTTACCGTCGCTTAGCTTAGCGCAGCGCAGCATAGCGCAGCGCAGCATTAGCACAGCATAGCATAGCATAGCCAAACATAGCATATCATAGCATAGTTCAGCATACCAATTCATATCATAGCACAGCATAACATAACATAGCGCAGCATAGCATAGCATAGCATCGCATAGCATTGCTTAGCATAGCACAGCTTAGCTTAGCTTACCGTAGCATATCATAACATAACATAGCGCAACATATCATAGCATAGCATAGCATAGCATAGCATATCATAGCGCAACATAGCATAGCATAGCACTGCCCAGCATAGCATAGCATAGCATAGCGCAGCATATAATATCATAGCATATGCCTAACCTAGCATAGCATAGCGCAGCATAACATAGCATAGCATAGCATAGCGCAGCATAGCATTGCATAGCATAGCCTAGCATAACATAGCGCAGCCTAGCATACCCTACCCTAGCATAGCATACCATAGCGCAGCATAGCGCAGCATAGCATAGCATAGCATAGCGAAGCATAGCATAGCATAGCAACGCATCAAAGCAAAGGCAAAGCAACAGCAGCAACAGCAAAGCAGAGCACAAGCAACGCAAAGCAAAGCAAAGCAAAAGCAAAAGCAAAGCAAAGGAAAGGCAAAGCAAAAGCAATGTGCGACAGGTGCCGAGCTAGCCTCGATGGCCTGACCGGAGCCCCCACAAGCAGTGCTGAGCAGCCTGCAGCTCTTGGAGGAGCCGCGAGCAGTGTTGAACCTAGTGCAAGCAGTGCTGAACAGCCTGCAGCACTTGCAGGAGCCGCGAGCAGTGCTGAACAGCCTGCTGTCGCTGGGTGCACAGCAAAGCAAGACAAAGCAAAGCGCAGCAAAGCATAGCATAGCATAGCTTAGCTTAGCACAGCACAGCGCAGCATAGCATAGCATAGCATAGCATAGACAATGCAAAACAAAAGCAAAACCAATGCGAAAGTGTAGATGTAGATGTAGATGTAGATGTAGATGTAGGTGTAGGTTAGATGTGGATGTAGGTGCAGATGTAGATGTAGGTGCAGATGTAGATGTAGATGTAGATGTAGATGTAGATGTAGATGTGGATGTAGATGTAGCTGTAGCTGTAGATGTAGATGTAGATGTGAGTCTCGCTGTTGATGTTGATGTAGATGTAGATGCAGATTTAGATGTAAATGTAGCTGTCGGTGTAGATGTAGATGTTGCTTTCCTAAATGCTCCAACTCATAGGTAGGGTCGCACTGGGATGATGTGTTATCATGCACTTTAGATGTTCGCCTTCCCCCCACTCCTCCTATGTTCTCGCATTCCCTGGGGAGTCGAAGACTCATTGTGTCTGTGTGCTTTGTTCCCTCCTGAGACCTGCTGCATGGCTCGGTGTGCGAGCGGCGAGGCTGCGGGCGCAGCTCTCGGCAGCTGCGCGGCGGGGGGGTCGCGAGCGAGCGCTTCTGCCACGGAGCCCTCCTGAACCAAAATGGCCACTGGGAGGGGCTCGGTGTATACACGACGCGGTTTCCTCTCCTGGCCAGGAAGATCGGTGTACACCCTGCGAAATGCTTAAGAAATCACGGGTTAAGAAATTCATAGTCTCAGAACTTGAACAAAAATCCAACATTTCTACTAAAATCTTAAGACTTAGATTGAAACGTTAAGAATAATCGAGACTCTGGCCGAAAACTCAAGTTTTCTTAAGCATCGCCAGAGGTGTACAGACGCCCCAGAGTTAGGTCGGGCCTCTCCCCCTACAGGGGGATTCTGAAGGGAGAATGAAGAATACAAAAAAAACACCCTCGCGCTCCGCGCTGCGCGGGGCGCGGAGCGAGAATCACTTCGCGCTCCCGCGCTGCCCCCCAGGGCAGAGGAGGAGGAGGAGGAGTCGGAGCCGAGCCGCGAAGCGCGCATAACTTCGCGCCCTCGGGGGCGTCCTTGTAGACCACTCCTTCCCCATCAACCGGCTGCCAAACACTGTCTGCCTGCGCGCCTGCGCCGGCAGCAAACGCCCCGCGCTCTCCCCCGAGGGGTGCGCACGCGAGCCTCCCCGGACGTTCGCATTTATCCGGTGCTGCACGTGGGCGCCTCAAGTGCACACGTACGTCTACATTTCTCCAAGAAAATTTGCACCTCGGGGTTCTTACTTGACATCACCGTCTCGGGGTGGGTGGCAGCTTTTGCGGGGGCGTCGCCCGTCTTCGCTGTCGCCGTCGCCGTCGACGTCGCCGCCGCTCGGGGCGAGTGGCGGCTTTCGCGGGCGGGGCCGCCCGTCGTCGCCGAGGCCGTCGCCGTCGCCGCCGCTCGGGGCAACTGGCAGTTTTTGCGGGCGGTGCCGCCCGTCGCTGCCGTCGCCGTCGCGTAGATTCTCCTTTCCTGAAAGAGATTGTACTCTCCTCCCCCGGGATTATCGGCATCTTTTTGTCGCAGTGCAATTTACATATGAGTCTGCTCCATCGTCCATCCTAAATATGAACCGTCGCCATCCCAGGGGGGCGGGTATCCCCCCGCCCCATCCCTTGCAAAGCTTCATGCGCGCACACGCTTATCATGTAACATACGTGTGCAAACATCGTTTGCATAAACATGAGACGGGAATCGCGCGCGCTCGCTGACGCGCGCGCGTGCCGAAATCATTACACGACCCATCGGTTTCGTAAGGATTTCAAAATCGAGCGTCCAAACAAAATGGCAAAACTGATATTCGAAAAAAAGATGCGTGCGCATGTTTGCGAATCTTTAAGAAAACCATGCGTTTCTCAATATTTCCAGAAATGTTACCAAACAAGTTTCGCGCGCGCATGTCAAAAACCGTTCGAACGCCCTTGCACGCGTGCCGTAAACCGCGTCCTTTGCAAACACATGTGACGAAGTGCGTGCGCGTCGACGCGCGCGCATGCCGAAATCTGTCAGAAACCTCTGGTTGCGCAAAAATGTCAAGACCGAGTGTCCAAAACGCATACGAACAAAAATGGTCTTCGAGCGACCGTTTTCAAAATAAATCGTGGGCTCTCGCTCTTGCGAACTCTTCAGACAAACGTTTTAAACATTCGCATGGAATTCTACCAAATGGGCCTCCGGCACCGCATGCCGACATCATTCGCACGCTCTTGCGCGCGCTGGGGGGGGGGGGCATGGTCCGTTTCAAATCATACCATGCGGGCCACTCTGGTGGCGCGTCAGCCACGCGCGCACGTCGAATTCTTTAACGCTTTCCAGAACTTTCATCACTACGATCAGCATCGTGCTTACCATAGTCGGCGGTGCCATGATTCTGAGACCGCCCAAGTCGCCGGCTCGCACTGAAGTGTACGCTGGGATGTGCCCAACAGTCAACGCCACCGCGGCCGCGTCGGTCGCGCCAAGCGAGCTGGCCTCTGCACGTGCGCTTGGGATGGTTCGGCCGCAAAGATGCACCAGCCACCGCCACACACTCATCGCATTCGCCACCGCGTGGGTTTTGCAAAGCAAGTTGCGGGTGAGTGGGCGGGATGTTTGCAGGAGCATGGGATGTGCCAATTCGTGTTAAAATCCATTGCGCAACACGGACCCTCATTTCTGAAGAAAAAACTCGATCTACACCTTTTTGGGTTGCACTGTACGTGCGTTTCTGCCCCGTCGTCCATCGTAAATATGAGGCCACGCCATCCCAGCACAGCCGGTTTCGACTCCCCCGCCGTCTTCTGCAAATACTATGCGCGCACCCGCTGATCAACAATCATGAATGTGCAAGCACCTTTTTGCAAAAAACAAAAAACTTGACACGCTGTGCGCACGCGCGCGCCATCGCGCGCGCATGCCGACATCGTTCAAAAACCTTCGGTTTCGGAGGGGTTCCAAAATCGAGTGTCCTAAACAATTCCAAACACATGGTTTCGCAACACGGATTTGCAAACAACAAAACGCGCGCGCTCTCGCAAATGTTGAAAGAAACTAGATGTTCAACAATTTCAGAAAAAAAAACTGCTAAACGGATTTCGCGCGGGCGCATGTCGAAATCGTTCGAACGCTCTCGCACGCGTGCCGTCGCGAGGATCTTTGGCAACAAAAAAACAATAGCACGAGCGCGTTGTCGCGGCACGCCGAAGTCCTTCAAACAACTTCGGTGCCGTAACGATTTGGAAAACCGGATGTCCAAAACATATCCGACAACACACAGGTTCGCAACATCTGTTTTCAAATAAAGCTTACGCGCGTGCTCTGACGATTTTCTTAAACAAAAAAACCCACCAGCCCTTTGGGCGTGAGTGGTTTAGCGAGCTCTCTCTGTTCTCAACCCCCCTTCTTCCCCTTCGGGGAGGGGTTTACCCCTCCCCCTACCCCCTCCCCCTGGGCCTGGAGAGGTCCTCCCGCGGGTGGCCGGAGGGGTCTTTTTCGACTCCTGGGAGGGCTAAAATTCGACACCCCTCACGAGGATTCTGGCCCCGACGGGGGGAGGGGGAAAAGTGCTCCCCCCATCTGTGATCGATCGCCCGACAGATGGCCCCAAGATTCCTCCCAGACCCCTCCAAGAGGCCTCCAAAAGGCCCCCAAGATGCTCCCAAGAGGCCCCCAAGAGGCCCCAAGAGGCTCCCCCGAGGCACCCAAGACGCTCCTGGAAGCCCCTGGGTCCGCCAAGGGGCCCCCAAGACGCCCCAAACCGCCTCCAAGAGGCTCCCAAGAGGCCCCAAGAGGTTCCCCCAAGGCACCCCAGACGCTCCTAGAAGCCCCTGGGGCCGCCAAGAGGCCCCGAAGACGCTCCAAAAGGCCTCCAAGAGGCTCCCAAAAGACATCTAGTACTACTTCTACTACTTCGACTACTACTACTGCTCCTACTACTACTACTACTACTACTACGACCACATGATCTGCCACTACTACTACTACTACTACTACTACTACTACTACTACTACTACTACTACTACTACTACTACTACTACTACTACTACTACTACTACTACTACTACTACTACGACTACGACTACGACTACTACTACAACTACTACTACTACTACTACTACTACTACTGCTACTACTACTACTACTACTACTACTGCTACTACTTCTAGTTCTACCACTACTACTACTCCTACTACAACTACTACTACTACTGCGACTACTACTAGTACTACCACTACCACTGCTACTCGTACCACTGCTACTACTACTACTGGTCTTACTAGTACTGCTGCTAGTAGTACTAAGACTACTACTTCTACTCATACTAGTACTTCTATTACTGCTACTACCACGACAACTACCACTACCACTACTAAGACTACCATCACTACTACTGCTGCTACTACTACTACTACTACTACTACTACTACTATTACTACTACTATTTCTAAATCTACTAATACTACTTCTCCTCATGGTGCTACGGCCTCTACTACTACCAGTACTAGTACCACTACTACTATTACTACTACTACTACTTCCATATAGAGCACTGCTCTAGTGACTGCCACTGCTACTGAGGCAACTACTGCGACGACGACGTTGACGACTCTGTTTGCTACTACCGCTGCTAGTGGTGATACCACTACTACTACTACTACTACTACTGCTACTACTACTACTACTACTACTACTCTACTACCCCTCCTACTACTAATACCACTACTGCTCCTACTGGTACTCCTGCTACTACTACGACTACTACTACTACGACTACTACTACTACTACTACTACTACTACTACTACTGCTACTATTGCTACTACTGCTAACACTAGTACTACTAGTAGTACTGCTACGACCAGACCTACTACGACTACTTCCATAAGTACTACAACTACCACTACTACTACTACTACTACTACTACTACTACTACTACTACTACTACTACTACTACTACTACTACTACTACTACTACTACTACTACTACTACTACTACTACTACTACTACTACTACTACTACTACTACTACTACTACTACTACTACTACTACTACTACTACTACTACTACTACTACTACTACTACTACTACTACTACTACTACTACTACTACTACTACTACTACTACTACTACTACTACTACTTCTACTATTACTAATAGTCCGAGTACTGCTACTACCACGACAACTACCACTACAACTACTAAGACTACCATTACTACTACTGCTTCTAGTACTGCTACTGCTACGACTACTACTACTACTTCTACCTCTACTATTACTACTTGTACTCATGGTGCTACGGCCACTACTACTACCAGTACTACTACTACTACTACTACTACTACTACTACTACTACTACTACTACTACTACTATCTCCATATAGACTACGACTACTACTACTACTACTACTACCACTACTACTACTACTACTACTACTACGACGACGACGACGACGACGACTACTACTACTACTACTACTAATAATAATATTACTACTACTACTACTGCTACTACTACTACTACTACTACTACTACTACTACCACTACCACTATCACTACTGCTACTACTACTACTACTACTACTACTACTACTACTACTACTACTACTACTACTACTACCACTACTAGTACTACTACTGCTCCGA